GTTTTTCGAGACAGGGTTTCTCTGTAGCTTTGGAGCCTGTCCTGGAACTAGCTCTTGTAGACCAGGCTGGCCTTGAACTCATAAAGATACACCTTCCTATGCCTCCCAAGTGCTGGGATTAAAGGCCTGCGCCACTACCGTCCGGCTCTCAATTATTTTTTATTCTTATAATTTAAAATTTTTATTATTTCATAACTGAGTGTTTTGCCTGTGTATGGGTATCTGTGCCACATGCTTGCCTACTACCCAAGAAGCTCAGAAGCCAGCATTAGATCTGGAACCTGAATCGGTAATCTGAAGTTACCGATTGTTGCCAGCCACTATGTGAGTGCTGGGAACCAAACCTATGTCATCTACAAGAGCAGCCGGTACTTTTAACCATTGATCCATCTCTCTTATCCCCATTTTTACTGGTCTTGTGTGTTGTGGGGGAAGGGGGAGGGCTCCGGCACAGCATGCATAAAGAAATGAGGAGACAATGTTCAGGAATTGGTTTTCTTACATCACATGGGACCTAGGAGTTGACTCATAACCAGTGTTGGTGACAGTACTTTTACCCACCAAACTATCTCACAGGCTGTTTTTTGTTTTTTGTTTTTTTTTTTCAGATACACTTATGTATCCCAGGCTGGCCTTAAACTCCTGTGTACTGACAGACATGTCACCAAGGGTAAACAGAAGCAGTACTTTCTTTTATTCCAACCGCTCAATCCCAAATAATCACACAGAGGCTTATATTAATTACAAAACGCTGACCTATAGCTCAGACTTATTACTATTTAGCTCCTACAAGTCTATATTTTGTCACATGACTCGTGGCTTTACCTGTACTCTAACATCTTGCTTCTCTGGCTGCTGGCTCACCATTCCCTCTCTCTCTCTCTCTCTCTCTCTCTCTCTCTCTCTCTGGCTCACCTCCCCCCCGCCCCGACTCTGCCCCTCTTCCTCTCTGTATTTTCAATTTGGCTTTCCCACGTAACCTTATTCTGTCTTGCTATAGTCCAAATCAGTTTTATCACTAACCAATGAGCGCAATACATACTCACAGCATACAGAAGGATTATCCCACAGCAACCAAACCCAGGTGTAGTTGTCTTTAAGTAATCCAGATGGACCCTTTGCCTTTTTTTTAATCCCCTTTGATTATTTTCACACCTTACAAACTTGCTTTACATGTCTCACCATGGGATTCTGCAAAAGCTATTAAAACTCCATATGAGCCATGAATAGTCCTGTCAGGCCTGGTACACTGGGCACTGAACACTGACTCTTGAATGCCCAATTTCCCTAGTAATGCTTGTCATTTTTCGGGGGTCTTCCAGAACTTGATGTTAGGAAGCTTTAGCCACTGATAACTAAGCTTAGTGTTTCATAAGAACTAGTCTACCAGGAATTCTCTTTTTGTTTGTTTGTTTTTCGAGACAGGGTTTCTCTGTAGCTTTGGAGCCTGTCCTGGATCTAGCTCTTGTAGCCCAGGCTGGCCTCAAACTCACAGAGATACACCTGCCCCTGCCTCCAGAGTGCTGGGATTAAAGGCATGCGCCACCACTGCCCAGCTCCTACCAGGAATTCTTTTTCCTTTATTACATCAGATTATACAAATTTACATTGTTAATTTCTTTGCTTCCACACACTCAAGATTCCATCTGTAATGGTAACAATAAAATGCTGCAGGTCCCCAAGTGGCAACTGGGCAGTAGTCCGGAGACCACAGCAGGCCACGAAGGCAGCTGGATCCCAGGCAGGAAGCCACATGGCAGGTGAGAGACCACTGAGATGGATAGGCACGCCATGTAGAGTGAAGTTGGATATTTATTTAGTGGGTTAGGGAAGGGAAGGGGAGAAGGGGGAAGAGCAGAGAGAGAGAGAGAGAGAAACTGGGGGAGGAAGGGATTCAGGCTGGAAGCTGAAGATCAGCATGCCTGGGTGGACAGGGGAGGGAGTGGGTGTCACCATTGCACCATCCGTTCCCATGTCTCACAGTATTATGAAACAGGCCACTAGGGGAATCTCATTTCTTTAAAAGATTTATTTATTATGTATGGTCTGCCTGCATGTATGCCTCCAGGCCAGAAGTTGGCACCAGATCTCATTATGGTTGGTTGTGAGCCACCATGTGGGTGCTGGGAATTGAATTTAAGACCTCTGGAAGAGCAGCCAGTGCTCTTAACCTCTGAGCCATTTCTCCAGCTCCATATCTTCCATTTCTTGTTTAAAAATCTTTTCCAAGGCCAACAAGATAGCCTAAGGTGTGAATATTACTGTCACCAAACCTGACAGCCCGAGTTTGATCCTTGGGACCCACATTGTGGAAAGGGAAAACCAACTCCTATGACATGGCTGTTGACCACACACACTCTATGGCATGTGCACGCCCACACACATACACATAAAATTTAATTTAAAAATAATTCTTTCCAGATCAAACAGATCAGATATTGTTTTCTCTGGTTATCATAGCTGCCCGTCTGGACTATTATTAAGTGCCCCCATCTGCTTACTGAATGAATGAGTGTTTCCCTTTCTCTGTACTAAAGATCAGATCCAGTATCTTCTGTAACTTCTGCTTCTATCTTTACTTTCTAGTTTCTCCTATGGGTTCCAGGAGTTTGGAACTCAAGAAGAATATAAAAAACTAACTTGTAGCCCCTCGACCGAAGAATGAATAAGGCAAATGTGGTACATTTACACAATGGAGTACTAAACAGCAGAAAAAAAATAGCTTGAATTTTGCAGGAAAATGGATAGAACTAGACCAGAGAACTTAGAGAAAAATACGGACACTAAGAGAGACTTACATAGATCTAATCTACATGGGAAGTAGAAAATATAAAAAGACAAGATCTCCTGAGTAAATTAGGAACATGGGGACCTTGGGGGATGGTTGGAGGGGGAGGGGGAGAGGCAGGGAGGGGAGCAGAGAAAAATGTAGAGCTCAATAAAATATGGAAAAAAGAAAAAAGAAAACATTATTTTGAGTGTGGTAACCCAGACACAGACAATTATCACATGTACTCACTCATTGGTGGTTTTTAAGCATAAAGCAAAGAAAGCCAGCCTACAAACCACAATCCCAGAGAACTTAGACAACAATGCAGACACTAAGAGAGACTTACACAGATCTAATCTACATGAGAAGTAGAAAGTAGAAAAAGACAAGAGCAGAGAAAAATGTAGAGCTAAATAAATATATTCCAGTGTTTCTCACTACAACAATAAAAAAAAAAACTTGTACTCCTTGTTTTCCATCTTGCTAGCTGTGAGAAATAATAAGCCACGATATGAAATAATAATAAGAAATAATCTTTCTCCCCATTCTCACTTTGCCTGTCAAGTCAGAAACTAGTGTGGAAGGAAACAGTTGCTTGTCTTTGCCTCCTTGCAATAAATACCTCCTTATACCCCAGTACCACGGGGGAGAAGAAGACAAAAAGCTGCTTTAACAGGACACAAAGGACAACTAGAACACTAAATTGTTTTGATATTTTGAGTCATCGAGTTGTTAATTCATGAAAAAAAGCCTCTGTTGTTTAGACCAAGTGTCCACAAGGCAGCAACTCCCAAGGTCAAACCTCCTATTTCAAAAGAAGTAGCAGAAGTCTGTTTGAATATCCTAATCTAAACCAGGCGGTGGTGGCGCAGCACCCCTTTAATCCCCGCACTTGGGAGTCAGAGACGGGTGGATTTCTGTGAGTTCGATGCCAGTCTGTTCTACAAGAGCTAGTTCCAGGACAGCCTCCAAAACAGAGAAACCCCGTCTCAAAAAACCAAACCAAACAAAACAAAACCCTAACCTCTGGTTAGGGTGGAGTGGATCTACCTCTATGGGCCGTCTTAATGTCCAAAACATCAAGTCTGACCTTCAGACAGGTGGAGAAACAAGCTCACATTTTTTTGTGGTTCCGCACATATTGAAATATTTTTAATCTATTTTTTCATCATGGCTCTAATTTCTCCCTGTAGGGCTCTTCCTCTAGTTCCAGATTCCATTTTCTCACAGGAAGAATCTTGGTTCTTAATTATATAAATATTTTAATTTAACTAATTTCGGAATAATTATCTACTATATACCAACAACAAACCTACTTAGGAAAGTTCTCATTTTTGGCACAAGTTGTTAAAGCTAAACCTGATGACAGATCAGTATTTTAGAGTGGTAGAAAGCCAAAGTACTCTATAGTCTTGCACACATTTAATCCCAACACTCAGGTGATAGTGATGGAGGTTCAGACCAGCCTGGTTTGCACAGAAAATTCTAGTGTAACCAGGGCTACATAAGTGAGACACTGTCTTAAAGAAGATAAAAGAAAAGAAAAAGATTATCGTCTCTTGCTGGAATGTAACCTCAAGGATTTTGCTGTTTTCATTGCTGTTAGTCCAGAGCCTAGGTTTTAGGACTGGGCTGGCTCTGAAGTTACTCGAGGTAGAACCTTATAACCTAGTGTACTTTTTAAAACCAATGACTTCTAGAGAACAAGACTGGTAACCTTGGAGGATCTGCTGCCCAGGATGAGGTCTTAGTTGGCACCAATTGGCAAAGCTGCCTATGTGTACGTATATTGTTTGTTTTCTTTAGTTTTTCGAGACAAGGACTGATTCTCTGTTTAATAGCCTTGACTGTCCTGGAATTCGCTGTGTAGACTAGGCTGGCCTGGAACTCTGCCTGCCACTGCTTCCTGAGCGCTGGGATTAAAGTCGTGAGTGATCACACTTGGTTACATACGTTTTAAGGTTTCCACAATAAAAGAATTTTGGAACAGGCTCTTATTATAATAAAGAGCCGAATTAAGATGAGGATTCCAGTCGGGCGATGGTGGCCGACAAACAAATGATGAGAATTCCTGGAGGAAACTGAAGAGATCCGTGAATTACAATGGAGAAGTCATACTTCCGGTAACCTAACTTCCGCGTCCCTTTCCAGACCTGCAGCACCACTAGATAAAAGCAAATGCCATACATTGATTGGCTGTTTTTGAGGCTCCTCCTTATGGTGGAGACCTTTAGGGAACTTCTAGCTCTAACGTCCTCGCCTGCCCTGAATTCCCGGCTTCCTATTGGACTGCCACTTTCCAATCGGCAAGGTTTCTGAGTCTTAGTCCTCAAGCAGCGGGGATCAGTGGCTGCAATGACGGGATTGGATCCTTAAGTCTTTGTAGGAGCCCTACTGGTTAAAAGCAAAGGAATAAACGCGAACCAGGCGGCTGAAGAGTCTTTGCCCAGGTTAGACTGTCTTTGCCCCATCCTCACGAGTCACTCTGCTCGAGACCTCTCGCCTCCTCCCAGTGGTTGCCAAGTGCGCTTGCGCGGTAACAGCCGCCCGCACCTTGTGCCTTTTCCCCCTTCTTCCGAGCCACCTTTCCCCCCTCCCTTCCCTATCCCTTTCCCTGTCCTGCTACCCTCCCTTACCCCTTGGCCCTTCGGTGTGGTCTCCCCGGTCCTGATCCTTCCCCTACCCCACCCCCGCCCCCCAGGACCCTGGCGCCCCAGCCGCAGGTGTTGCGCCCCCGGGAGCCACGATGTGCTTCGTCTCAGAATCCATGGGTCTCCCTGCCCTCACTGTCCTCCGTTTCCTCCGCGCAGGCCCCCACATCCCTCAGAATGACGTTGGACGTGGGGCCGGAGGATGAGCTGCCCGACTGGGCTGCGGCCAAAGAGTTTTACCAGAAGTACGACCCTAAGGACGTCATTGGCAGGTGAGCCTTGACCAGGAATACAGAGGTACAGAGGAGTGGGATCCTGGCCAAGGATAAACGATTCATTCTGAAGCCCGGCTTGCTGGGAAGGGGTCAGTGGAAAACAGTAACTAAACTAGTATTCTGAGTTAACCCTCTTTTTTTTTCCTTTCTCTTTCTCTAATCCATTCATTTATATAGTCAAGATTGATTGATGCATCAAACTTGATTGTGTGATTGATGCATCAAACTTGATTGTGGGCCAGACGCACTGGACACTGGGAGGGTAGAAAATGCCTGTCCTCTGTATTTCAGTTAAAGTGACAGAAAGAAGCACGTGGGTGCTTTTCGAAGGTGTCCAGCTAGCTAGCTAGGGGTCTGTATAGACGCTACTGTGGTGCCATAACCCCGGGGGCGCTATGGGTCTTAGTTGCGGAAGCATAGTATGTTGGTTATGTTGTGTTAGACACTAATGATACCAGGTGAGGTGGTAACAGGAACCCATCAAGTCTCTGTCTTGGAGTTTACATTCCAACAGTAGAGAGATATGAAAGCAAGAGAAAGGTTTTTGCAAGTATTAGGGGGAAAGTAGGCAGTAGGATTCAAACAGCGAAGCCTCCCCAGACAGAAATGGAGTTGGAGAAGTGGGTACCCTAGGGCTTTAGGCCATGATAAGTTTCATGGGTGCCCTGCATGTTTTCACACCGGTGACATGACATGACAGGGGGTTGTGAGCAGGGCCCGAATTCTTCCTGCACCTCAGTTAACTGAGAATAAAAGCAGACTCCACCTTCTGTTTTGCTGTTGAGTTTGGCATGAGTTGGATGATCCTTTTCAGACAGTTTTAGCATATAGTAGTACTTAAAACTCTTAGATTTTTCAAAAAGGTCTTTTTGGCTTTTATGTCGAGATTGGATGGGAAAGGGGCTAATGATGGTGGTCGTTTAGGTTAGTGGTGACTATGGAGATGGGGGGATCCAGGCAATGATTTCAAAGGAGACTGACTGCAGATCATGAAGGAGAGCAAACGGGTGACTTTTAGGGATTTGTTGTTTTGTTTTGTTTTTCGAGCCAGGGTTTCTCTGTAGCTTTGGAACCTGTCCTGGCACTAGCTCTTGTAGACCAGGCTGGCCTCGAACTCACAGAGATCCTCCTGCCTATGCCTCCCGAGTGCTGGGATTAAAGGCCTGCGCCACCACCGCCCGACCCGACCTTTAGGGTTTTATTCAAGCACTTGAGCCTGTTTATGGGAAAGACAAAGGGTGGGACAGAATCAGATTGGGGAACGGGGTGAACAAATCAGGAGTTTCATTTTGGAAATCGCAGTTTGAGACACCCTAGTGGATGGCACTTTCCGATGGGTTTGCATCTGGAAGTCAAGGAAATATATATGATAACCACAAATTTGGGAGACATCAACATGCAGAAAATAGCCGTGAGGAGGGAGAATACAGAGGGCTGAAAGGGGCCAAGGCTCAGGTCCTGGGTCATGTCACCATTTAACGATCATTTAGAAAGAAGAGCTACCAAGGGACCTGGGGAGGTAGCTGTGAGCGAGAGCGAAGACAAGAATTTCCTCTTAGAAGCCTGGCGGGATCTGCTATGTGAAGTGCTTGAGAGGCCTGGGACAGACAGGGGCGTGGCATTAGACTCAGCCAGACACGTTTAGATATCACATGGAGATGTCAGTTTGCAATTGGAACCAGGATTCTATGAGAAATTAAGGATCAAAGACAATATAGTGTGTGAATTGCCCATAGATATTTAAAACTTCTAGAACTCGAAGAAGGTCGACAGACTGTGTCTTAGTTACTGTTCTGTTGTTGTGAGGAAACACCATAACTTAACTTATAAGAGAAAGCACTGAATTGTGGGCTTGCTTTCAGTTTCGGAGGGTCAGTCCGTTACCTTGGCAGGGAGCATGATGGCAGGGGGCCACAGCACTGGGGCAGTGCCTGAGAGTTCACATCTTACCCACACACAGCAGGTGGGGAGAGCACACTCATTCCCAGGGACACATTTCCTAATCCTTCCCAAACAGTTCTACTTACTAGGGAACATGCCTTCAAACATGTGTGCCTGTGGGGGTATCCACACTGAGTGTATTAAGGAAAAGAGCCCACGTCCAAATCCTGAGGCGTTACAGGATTCAGGACAACAGGAGGAGGATGCAGAAAGTGAGACCTGTGGGGAAGAACCAAACCTGGACTCCACTTCCAAGGGAAACAAAATCGTTTTGGAGGAGGCAGATCAGAGGTGACATCCTGTAGGACCAGCGTTATTATGACATCATCACTTATCTTTCTCCTCAGTCCTGGCTGTCCTTGAGCTCGCTCTGTAGCCCAGGCTGACCTCAGACTCACAGATCCTCTTGTGTCTGCCTCCCGAGTGCTGGGGTTAAAGGCGTACACCACCACCACCCGGCATAGTACCTGCTTTTAATGCTAGTGCTCAGGGAGATGGAGGTAGAGGCAGATGAAACTTTTTAGAAAAAAAACAACAACAACTTTATTTCATCTGTATTGGCATAATGATGTCAGATTCTCTTGAACTGGAGCTACAAACAGCTGCGAGCTGCCATGTGGGTGCTGGGAATTGAACCCGGGTCCTTTGGAGGAGCAGTCAGTGAGTGCTCTTAACCACTGAGCCATCTCACCAGTCCCAGATGAAGCTTTTTAGAGTTTCAGGCCAGCCAGACTTAACAGTGAAACTATTCAGGGGGGCGGGGCTAAGTGTCGCCCAAAAGGGGCCTGACAGGTGGTAGGTAGAGCTCTTGCTTAGCATATATGAAGCCCTGGGTTCAGTCCCCAGAACTTTAGAGGGAGGAGGAGAGAAGAGGCTATTACCCTTGTTAACTGATAAGCTGGGAAGTTTTCAGACAATGAGTAACGTGATTGAACCTCTGTTTACGAAGCTGTTGGAGAAGCAGTGTGTTGGATTAGAGAACCTCGGCAGCTGGGAAGAGACTGAGGCAGCTGTCACAGTCGTCCAAATAAGGAAGATGAAGGCCTGAGCCTTGGCAGCGAATGTGCTGGTGGTGACGCCCGAGGGTGTGGAGTAGAGAGAGGGGGCCGGTTTAGCCTGGGGTGTGAGCAGCAGCAGTGTTAACAATAGGAACAATAAATAATTAGATCAGAGAGAGAAGTTAGTTTGGGGGAAAATGCAGTGTGCGTTGCTGATGAGAGATGTGGACTAGGAAAGATGTCCAGGCAGACAGGCCCTGACGGGGGAGACGGCTGGGCTTAGAGACTGAGGTCACGGAGATGCGGGTGCTCGGGACTAAGGATGGAGCCTTGGGCAAGCTCAGCTTATTTATATTTGTTATTTTTGAGAATATCTCTGTGTAACCACGGTTGGCCTGGAACTCAAAATTCTACTGTCTCAGCCTTCTGAGTGCTATAATTATAGACATGGGCCAACATACTCTGCTCTATTGATTTGTTTTGGCGGACTCTTGGTGGGGGGGCTGGGTGGCTGGATTTGAGCCCAGAGACTTTCACACGCTAAACAAGTACTCTCCCATTGAGCTACAGCCTAAACCTGTATTTGGGCATTGTTAATCCAGGCTCAGCAAGCACACCACCCTACACTATGCTCACAGCCCAAGGCTGACCTCTAAGGAACGGGAAGAAGATTAGACTTTGAGTCTTAAGACTTGGAAATGATCTAGAATCATACTAGAAAGGTTTACTAAAGAGTAAGTGCCATTAAAATAAAAGCTTATGGAATGCTCGAAGAGTTCCTTTCTGCTAGAGAACAGAGTTGGTGGGGGTGGCATTTAGTCTGGTCTAGATGACTTAGTGACTTGAGCCCTTTGAACTTCCAAAAAAAATTACGAGGTTTTTGTTTTGTTTTGTTTTTTGTTTTTTTGGTGGTTTGGTTTTTTTTTTTTGGTTTCCAAGACAGGGTTTCTCTGTACCTTTGGAACCTGTAATGGAACTAGCTAGCTCGTGTAGACCATGCTGGCCTCAAAGAAATCCACCTGCCCCTACATCCCGAGTGCTGGGATTGAAGGCGTGTACCACTACTGCTAAATTACAAGATTCTTAAATGAAGTTTATTAAAGATGAGTTGCCTAGAGACTGGAAATGTGGCTTAATGGTAGAATGCTTCCCTAGCATGTGTGAGGCCCTGAGTTCCACTATATACATACATACATACATACATACATGCAGATTTGACCGTTAGCTTGAGGCTCATATGGATAGAAAAATGAAATTATAAAGTAACCAAGAATAATACAGTAGGAGGAGGTGTGTGTAATGGTCCAGTTAAGATATGGCCAAAAGATAACACACCATTGGCTATGCTACATTTGACCTGACGCTCAGTAAATTTGTACTGTGATTTACTTGTGCTGTGGATGACAGAATTCTAAACAAAGGGACTTAGGTGTATGACACTCAGGGTGCAGAAGAGCATGGAGGTAAGGCCATGTGAAGGCCAACCAGGGAATCAGCAGCAGAAGTGTGTTTTGATGACAGAACCCACGCATGGAGGTCCATGTGCCTCTTACAAAAGCCACACAGACTTTCCTGCCTCTTTCTTGCTAACATTTCCAACATCCCTTTGAGATATTTCAGAGTTGTACAAGATAAAGTCCAGACAAGTTATCTTGGGTCATTTCTGGATCTGTTGGTGGCAAATTTGTGACCTACACTAGGGTCTTAGTCTCAACAGATCTTTTACACGCAGAGTGTCACAGGGAGGTCTGGGATTTGGATGGAGACTGAGATAGTTTCTTACCACTCCTACCAGGGACAAACTCTGGCATCATGTCAGAAGCCTTGCTCAGGGCTTACACACAGTGGGAAGGATAGAGCCTGGATTTCACCAAGTCTTCTGCCGGAGTCCCTGTGGGCTTTGTGTGGCATCTTGCTGGTTGGTACTCAGGCTGGTTGGCCTGAGGACACTGTGAAGGCCAGGGTTTGTTCCTCTGGCACTTGTCCTGATGTCATGGGTCTTCAGAGTCTGGGACAGCAAGCACAGTGGTCCAAAGGCTCCATAAGGAGGAAGCCAGATGCTGGGGCATGCCTGTAGTCTCAGAACTGAAGCAGCTGAGGCAAGAGGATTGAGCTCAGGGCCAGCCTGGGCTACAGAGCAACATAGCAAGACTCAGTCTTGTGGGTATAGTGGCACCCATCTTTAATCCTAGCACTTGGAAGGCAAAGGCAGTCTGATCTCTGTGAGTTTGAGGCCACCATGGTCTATGTAGTGATGTCCAGAACAGCCAGAGCTGTACAGTGAGATCCTGTCTCGAAAAAGAAAGCGGGGTGGGGGGGCGGGGGAGGAAGGACACTGGCGAGAGTAGGGAGGCCTGACGTGACCGTCATCTGACTCTCCGCTAGAGGGGTGAGCTCTGTGGTTCGCCGCTGCGTTCATCGAGCTACTGGTGATGAGTTCGCTGTGAAGATCATGGAGGTGACGGCTGAGCGACTGAGTCCTGAGCAGCTGCAGGAGGTGCGGGAAGCCACACAGCGAGAGATGCACATCCTTCGCCAAGTCGCTGGCCACCCCCATATCAGTGAGGCTGCATTCCCTGGTCCTGCTGACTGACAGCCCCCCCATGTCTGCTAGCCCTGTTCCTAAACCACGCCCTAGAATTGCCTCTAGGTCTCTCTGCTCTTCCTCCTCACTCTCTACCTCCAAGAGTGGCCAGTCTTTGGGTCCCTGTGGCCTCCTTTGTACTCCTTCCTTCCCCCTAGAATAGTCTAGCACTGCCTTTGGGTGGAAAAGCGCCTGTGGTGTGTATCTGCTCCTTCCCATCTCTCTCTGCCTTTCTGCCTCTTTCCCCAGTCACTCTCATCGATTCCTACGAGTCTTCTAGCTTCATGTTCCTGGTGTTTGACCTGTGAGTATCACCCTGCCCGACTGAGAAGCCTATTCCTTGCCTCCATGCACGGCCCAAGAAGTACAGCTCCATCCGTGGGCAGGAGACCACTCTGTTTACATCTTGCTCTGCCTCCCTGAAAACCCAAGGCACAGGCCTTCTTAGGTGCCATGATTGAGGCAAATATTTCAAGAGTAATACTGAACAATCAAAATGCCAAGAGTTCTAATGACCCAAGGGGTCCCTATCCCAGTCCCTCAACCATGAACTAATTCTTTATAAAAGTTCCTCACTCAGCCATCTTAACTCATTTAACGCAGTGCACCGCTGGCCGCCTCTGTCTGTGGGTTCTTCTTTGGTTTATCTGAATCTTATCTTATTATATGATAGAGTGCAAACTAACGGCCAAAGTATTTCCAGAGTACTGTCTAGCCAGGCATCATGCCTGTAATCCCAGGACTCCAGAGGCAGAGAATTGCAAGACGATTGTAAATTCAACGCTAGCTTGGGCTATGTACCAAGACCCTATATCTGGGAGAAGAGGGAATAATAAACCAAAGATTAACAGAGACCTTCAGAAAAAAAAAATGCATGACACTATTAAATTGCCCTCTGCAAAAATCTAAGGGGAAATAGGAAATGTCTATTAACTGTCCTGCAGAGTCGCTGGACAAAGACAGTCTGCTTTGAGTATTGATCAGAATTGTGATTATGGCCTCAGTTTTATTATTTACTTATTTTTGTATGTATGTATTTTGCTTTTTGGTTTTGGGTTTTTTTGTTGTTTTGTTTTTGTTTTTTGTAGCCCTGGCTAGTCTGGTCTTTAACTCACAAAGATTCTCCTGCCTTTGCCTCCCAAGTGCTGGGATTAAAGGTGTGCATCACCACACCTGGCTGTAGCTTCAATTTAAAAGATGATAAAAACAAACTCCAAAATCGTCTGATTCGGGGGCTGGAGAGATGGCTCAGTGGTTAAGAGTACTGACTGTTCTTCCGGGGGATCCTGGTTCGATTCCCAGCACCCACATGGCAGCTCACAACTGTCTCTAACTCCAAGATGCAACACCCTCACACAGACATACATACCAATAAAATAAAATTTAAATTAAAAAAAATACATACACACACATGTGTTTACGCATGCACACAAATTGAAGATACACAGACAAGCTTTTTTTTTTTTTTAAATCATCTCATTCTACCTTTTAGTAACTGTTAACTGAACTCTAGGCCCGTTTTCTAGATGGCCTTAAGAGGGCTCTTGCAGCTGTAGTTGCTCTCAGATAAGGAAGAACTCCTGGAAATTATTGTCACAAGGAGTCACTATTCTTTCTAAAAGTGTCCCTTCATGGCACATTAAGAATATTTAAACCACCAGCCCACTGTGTCAAAAACTGCCCTGGAATCCAGCTCACTCCTGGGATGTTGTCTCCCAGGCTCCGGATGGCCACAGAGGTAGCTAGCACTCCTCACTAGCCCTGTCCTCTTCTCAGTCGGGTGCATCTGCCTCTTGTCCTCCCCCATCTCCTAGGATGCGGAAAGGAGAGCTGTTTGACTATCTCACGGAGAAGGTGGCCCTCTCAGAAAAGGAAACCAGGTACTGGTAGAGCCTAATGCCCCTGGGGTGGACAGGGCAGTGGTACAGGGAGAAACAGGAGTCTGTTCCTCGCCAGGTCCATCATGAGGTCTCTGCTGGAGGCAGTGAGCTTTCTCCATGCCAACAACATTGTCCACCGAGACCTGAAGCCCGAGAATATTCTCCTAGATGACAACGCGCAGATCCGCCTTTCCGACTTCGGGTTCTCCTGCCATTTGGAACCTGGCGAAAAGCTTCGAGGTGAGGGAAGGAGACCCATGCTTGAGGTTGGCTGGCCAGCTTGGGAACAGAGTCCCAGATGCCAAGGAAAATAAAATGAATACTTGCTGAGTACCCTCTTGGTGCCAAGGCTTTGGGCAACTCTTCTTTACCTTGGAGAATGGAGACGAATAAGCAAGAGGACTATGCCAAAAAAGCTAGAAGAAAGGAACATTGTTCAATTTGAGGGGTCCACAGAGGAAGGGGCTTCAGAGCTGGCCTTTGTCCTAGGAGGAAAGAGAGTAGGGCTAGAAGGGCCCAGCACTTTGTTTGAAACGTAGATAAAATGAGAGCTTTGTGTGGTGCTTCAGTGCTGTGAGGAGCCTGGTGTATCCAGCCGGCCTTGTGTGTGGCATCTCTCCTGGGGCCCCTGATGCCATGCATTCACTATGATAGAAATATATCTGGGACCGGGAAGATGGCATTTGCCATTCGAGTTTGAGGACCAGAGTTTGGATGCCAGTAACCATGGAAATACCAGCATGTAGGAGGCAAGGATAACCTTGGAGTAAACTGGCTAATGAGGCTATCTCAATCAGTGACGCTTTGGGCTCAGGGGAGAGTCTCGCCCAAATACATAAAGTAGAAAACAGTTGTGGAAGATGACCAATGTTAGCATTGGGCCTACACATCTCTCTCTCTCTCTCACACACGCACACGCGCACACACACACACACACACACACACACACACACACACACGCACGCACGCTATTTCTAATACAGATGGAAAACTTTAAGCAAATTCAAATCCAAGAATTCCAAGAGCTTCCTTTATGGTTTTGTACTGCACATACTAATAGCTATCGAGTAATGGGCATTAGGGGCTGGAGAGATGGCTCAGAGGTTAAGAACACCTGCTGCTCTTCCAGAGGTCTTGAGTTCAATTCCCAGCAACCACATGGTGGCTCACAACCATCTGTAATGATCTCTGGTGCCCTCTTCTGGCATGTAGCCATGCATGCAGAACACTGTATATGTAGTAAATAAATCTTTAAACAAACCAAAAAATGGGCTTTTACCATGGGCAGGTGCCACACCAAACCTCTCTGCTGTGGCTTATTTCCGTAAGTCTTCTCAGCAGTGACCTGAGATTAGTAGTGTAGGCGTCCCTTAGAACTAGGCGTGAAGACATGGGATGCCTTACCCACGCTGCTCTTGGGCTTCCACACACGCATCTTTGGAACCCTTTGCCCTGCCTGCTTCACCCTTCTCTTGGCCTGAGAGGTGCACATCTCACTTCAGCCTCCACTCAGGGAGGTCCCCCTGCTTTTTGTATTTTCCTGGTCACATGACTTAACACTGTTACTTCTTCCTTGCTTCCTGGAAGATAGTGAGCTTGGGAAAGGTACATCCACCTCATGTCCATCTGATAGAGCTGTCTTAGTAGATGCTAGATAGTCAAATACTTGCATTTCCAGGCTTTTTCTATTTAGGCTTATTAAGTTTTCTTGGAAGTACAACATGAAATAGTTTGGAATTTCTGAAATCAAAGAATTGGTACCCTTGAGTGTTAAAAAGAAACTAAAAATACAGATTTGTGTCAAGTGATGGAGGAACCAAGCCTTGGTCCTCATGCCATGATAGAAAATCAAGGGTTTTTGTGGGGGGGTTGATTTGAGACAAGGACTCTCTATGTAGCCCTGTCTGTCCTAGAACTAACTCTGTAGACCAGCATAGCCCATGTGGACCTAACCCAGCTGAAGGATAGACTTTAAACAGGGACCACCCTGGTATATGCTTTAAGAAATTCTGGCTTGTGCTGGACATGGTGGTACACTCCTTCAATGCCAGCACTCAGGGAGCAAAGGCAGGCAGATCTGAGTCTGACTTAGCCAAGCCAGTCAAGGCTACATAGTGAGATCCTGTCTAAAAAAAGAAAAATTCCAGGCTGGGGATGGAGCTCAGTGGTAGAATAATTGATTAGTATGTGTGAAAACCCAGGCACTAGAAGAAAAAACTCCTTTCAAATTGAAGAGACCCAAAAAGAACTTCAAATTTCTATTTGTTCTCCTTTGGCTGAATGGTGGTACCACTCACCAGAATGCACCCTGGGAAAGGGAGAATAGGTTTGGCCGAAAGTAATGCAGCAAAACTTTGAATTTTACTTTTCACGTGTATTATGTATCTAATAACGTGGCACAAGTTGTCCTGATGAATGAGTAACTTGGCTTGGCTTCAGGAGGTGAATGATGTGGTTGAGTAAGACCTCAGAGTCATTCCCAAACCGGGCATTCCTAGGAAGGCCACTGTGAGCTTTGGTGGGGATGTGAACTGGTTTGCTAGGGTCATGGTCTTGCTCTGTGGCTCCACAGGAGACGCAGAAGCAGACAAGGTACACGCGTGCTCTGGCAGAACTGAGAAGGCCCTGGTATGTAGGGCTCTGGAGGGGTCTAGCGCCATTCCTTCTCTCCCCAGAGCTGTGTGGGACTCTTGGGTATGCAGGGCTCCAGAGGGGTCTAGCGGCATTCTCTCCCTCTCTCCCTAGAGCTGTGTGGGACTCCTGGGTATCTAGCACCAGAGATCCTTAAATGCTCCATGGATGAAACCCACCCAGGCTATGGCAAAGAAGTCGACCTGTGAGTTTGTCCTCCTCTCCCCTTCTGTGTGTCGTTCTTGCTTGTTACCTAGGCCAGTCTAACCATGGTCTCATTCTCAGCTGGGCCTGTGGGGTGATCTTGTTCACACTTCTGGCTGGCTCGCCACCATTCTGGCACCGGCGCCAAATCCTGATGCTACGTATGATCATGGAAGGGCAATACCAGTTTAGTTCGCCTGAGTGGGATGACCGCTCCAACACTGTCAAGGACCTGGTGAGTAGCAGCCATGAAAGAGAGTCCCTAGGGAAGACCGAGAGCAGACTCTAATGTTGTAAGGTTTCTCTAGATCTCAAAGCTGCTACAAGTGAATCCTGAGGAGCGCCTGACAGCTGAGCAAGCCCTGCAGCACCCCTTCTTTGAGCGCTGCGAAGGCAGCCAACCCTGGAACCTCACACCTCGCCAGAAGTTCCGGGTAAGCCAAGGAGTGGCCGGTTCTGCACCTGGGCCTTGTCCTTTGCCCTGTGCCAGATCTCTATCAGGGTGAATACTGTCCCTTTTCCCAGGTGGCAGTGTGGACAATCCTGGCTGCTGGACGAGTGGCACTGAGCACTCACCGCCTACGGCCACTAACCAAGACTGCACTGTTGAGAGACCCCTACGCACTGAGGCCAGTGCGGCGCCTCATTGACAACTGTGCCTTCCGGCTCTACGGGCACTGGGTGAAGAAGGGGGAGCAGCAGAACCGGGCAGCCCTCTTCCAGCACCAGCCTCCTAGGTTGTTCCCCGCTGTGGCCACTGAAGAAGAAGGGGACTCCAACACTATCACAGAGGACGAGGCTGTGCTGGTGCTGGGCTAGAACCTCATCCCTGGCAAGCCAGAAAGCAGGACTCTCCAGGAGGAGATTTTTTTTTTTTTATCATTCCCGACTGTTGGGACTCAGACCTTAGCCCTGCCTTGCCAAGCCTACCACTGCTATCACTGGACTGCTACCACTACTCATCCTGGACTTGGAGATCAGGGCTGACTGAGATGGAAGGGAACCTCTTCCAGTGCTGTGCCTGACCTGGCCATCGCTGTCTTGTGCTGCATCTGAAATAAAACTGCTACAAGCCTGGGAGAGCCGGTGCCCGTGTCCGCTGTCTGGTTGCATAGGGGAGCACAGAAGGTGCTCATGAAGGTGGGAGATGGGATGCTCTGGCCCAGGTCTTTATTGGAGAAGATGCTGGGGATCACTTGGTCTTGGTCTTGCCTTTGCTGGGAGGTGGCTGATAGGGCCGCTCCAGGGCAGCCAGTTTGTTGCTCATTCTTTCCTCGCTCTCCTTGAGCCGCTCCTCCACCAGCTGCTGCAGTTGCCTCAGCTCCTTGCTCAGCTGCGTCTTGATGTAGGTTTGAAGGATGCACACCTCGCCTACGGGGAGAGAGGAAGGACAGGAGAGGTGGTGAGCTGTGCAGAGTGGTGCTGTAACTTAGGAACTGTCAGCATTACTCTGAAACAGATGGCTGGGCAAAGCAGCCAAACTACACTTCCTGGATTCAGATCCTGACTACTTCTGACATAAGGCAGCCCATCCATCAGCTTCTTCATGAAAAACATGGATGGTAGCAATTCCGTGACTATAGGATTGAGTTAATAGGCACAGCAGCATGTTTAAAGGCCGGGTCTCCTGGGACCTAGTATTACCAGGTCAGTACTTGCCTTTGTCAACCATTCCCCCATCACTCTCTTTCAGGGGCCACCTTTCCTATGCATAGCAACACCCCAGTAATTACACTGTTGTCTGGACTTTTGCATAAGGAATTATTTAGAGAGGGGACATGGGGCTGGAGAAATGGCTCAGTGGTTAAAGGGACTAACTGCTCTTCCACAGAATCTGGGTTCAGTTCTCAGCACCTACATGGTACTCCAGCTCCCAGGGCATTCAGACCTCTTCTGACCTCTGGGTACTGCACACATGTGTGCACAGATACACATGTAAGCAAAACTCCCAAACAAAATAAAAATAAATAAATCTCAAGAAATTTTAGGGGACACTAGAACTAAAACTAAGTCCTGAGCTGGATATGGTGGAGCATCTCTACAAGCCCATTACGCAGGCTGGACAGAGGGATCAGTAGTTCAAAGCCAGCCTGGGCTACACAGCAAGACCTTGTTTCAAAAAAAACTAAAACAAGGGTTGGTGGATAGTTCAGTGGGTAAAAGCTTGCTGTGCCAGCCTGCCAACCTCAGCTTGAGCTTCAGAACCCACATAAAGGTTGAAGGACTGACTCCCAAATTCTCTGGGTTCCACAGGCATTCATTCTGTCTCTAATAAAACAAGGGACCGGAGAGGCAGGAGGATCTCTAGGAGTTTGAGGCCAGCATGGTCTACATAAGTTCCAGAACAGGCAGGACTATTAGACCCTGTCTCAAAAAAGGGGTGGGGCATGGGCTGAGGATACAGTTAGTGGTGAAACGCATATGCAAATGTCGCTCATTTCGTTCCCCCCAGTATTACAAAACAAAACAAATCAGCAGGGGGAAGAGGGGACTTGAAGACTCAAATAGACCCAAACCCTTCATTCAATCTTGACAGAGTCCCGGGGCTCCTAGACACCTCAACCCTTGACAGTGCTCACTTGGTTGTTCCTCAGGCTGAATCTCAGTCTCCGGTTCTTGCTCCTGAGGAGTAGCTGCCTGTTCCACTGCCTCCTCGCCCTCTTTCTCTGCAAGCCAGAAGCGGGAAGAGGCCTTAGTCCCAGCCCTGGCCTAGTGCCAGCCTGGCTCATCTGTGCCCATCTTACCCTCTGGCTTAGGGAGCTGTAGCCCCATGTAAGTCAACGATAGGTCCAGCCGAACCTGGGGAGACACAGGAAGAAGGAGGCTGAGAAGATAGCACCTATCATAAGAGGAAGGTGGAGTCAGGTGGCCTCGCAGCCTGTACACAGTACCTGGGGTGTGAAGACATATTTGTAGAGCTTGAAGTGGCGGAAGTAGGTGTTGACCACATAGTCCGCCAGTGCCAGCAGCTGTTCCTCCTTAAAAAGGTCTATGCTGAACGGGGGCCGCTGTGATGGCAATTAGGAGTGAGTTAGCACCCCGACAGCCTCCAGAATCAGGGCAGACCTCAGGGGGCCTTCAGAGGGAGAGGGAGGATGATGGTGGTGGGAGAGAACAGGAATTTGGGCTAGATCTTACCCTGACTCCATGGCAAAAGAGAACGTTGGTAAAGTAGCGGTAACATTCCTCCACATTGCCCAAAGGGGTGGCTGGAAGGAAACCAGGTGCTGCGGTCAGGCCTTTCCTACCCGTCATCCCGCCATCCCTCTACTTGTAGAGCGCGGGATTCAGAAGTAAGGCCTGGCTTGTTCTCACTGTATACTTCCCTAGGCACTGAACAAGACAGACAAGGTCCTTCCCTCCAGAGGTTTAGTTTTGTTTCTGGGACAGCATTTCATTCTGTAGTTTAGACTAGACTGAAACGCACTGTGTAACTCTTGCCGGCCTCAAACTAATGACATTGCTCCTGCCTCAGCCTCTGAGCACAGGGGTTTCAGGCTTGGGTCCACCATACCACCAGCAGGAAGGCTATTCTGTTTTTGAGACAGGGTCTCCTGTTGCCCAGGACAGCCTTGAACTCACTTGGAAACTGAGGATGACCTTGAACTTCTGATTCTCCTCCTTCTACTTCCCAAGTGCTGGGATGAGAGGTGAGTAATCCTGACTTCGACAGTGCTGGAATTGGACCCAGGGTTCTGCGTATGCGAGATAAGGGCTCTCCTAACTGAGCTACATCCCCAGGCCCCTATTTATCTCTTTCTTAGAACAGACCCATACCATCAGTACCACGTGTTTCATCTACTGATAAGGAAATCGATCTCAAAGGTGATGAAAATGTGGTGCCATGATACTAGTTATGGTGAGACAAAAATCACAAATTGCGGTCTCCCTGCTTCTGCTTCCCACAGTCACTTGTGCTAGCCCAGCCTCCTCTCCTGGGGCTCAACACTTCTGGCGGTTGCCTCCCTCTCACCAACACAGGCCTTGTGAAGATCTTGGAGCAAGGCGCAAGCTGCTGACGTCTGCTCTAGTGAAAAGCCCTGCTGGCGGCAGAAGATGAGTGCATAGGAAAAGAGGTCCAAGATAATAGCATCCCGTAGGCTCTGGTCAGGATAGCCAAGCTCCAGGAGCTCAGCTAGCACCCTTGGGATGGAGAGGAAGGAATGAGTAAGGCTGTGAGTTCTCCCCACCCTCCCCTTAGGGTTTATTTCTATTATATGGGGATGGGTATTGTCTGCATGTGTGTATTGTGTACCACGTTTGTTTGGTGCCAGGGAGGCCAGCAGAAGATGTTCGATCCTTGGGAACTGGAATTACAGACCATGTGGGTGCTAGGAACCAAACCTGGGTCCTTTACAAGAACAGCCAGTGCTCTTAATCACTGAGCTGCCTCTGCAGCCCTAAACACAGCCTCCTCTCCGTCTCCATCACCTGACACTCACTCTGTGTCTTCCCTCCCAAGGGTCCTGTCTCTCCCAACACAAACCCATACTCTCTCATCTCTTCCACAGTGGCTGCCTTCTCCAGTCTGTGCATAGAATGGAGGTCCAGGTATTTCCTGTTAGGAAAAGATGAGACAAATCATTGATGGCTTGTGTAACTTCCTGATGGGGCATCGGACTGGGAATCAGGACTTAAGGCTTAACTAATGTACTAAGTACCTTTTGGCAAGGCATTTTTGTGGGCCTCACTTCCACTGTAAAGAGGACTATCGTGGTCTAAGATCTAGACTCTAGATGAACCCTCAGGAGATCTTTTATTTTATAAATAAATTATAATTTATAAATAGATTTATAAATTTATAAATTTATAAATAGATTTTATAAATCTAATGATCAGAAAACTCGTGTTTGCTGGGTGGTGGGGGCACATGCCTTTAATTCCATCACTCAGAAGGCAGAGACAGGTGGATCTCTGAGTTTGAGACCAGCCCAGTCTACAGAGCAAGGTTCAGTACAGGCTCCAAAGCTACAGAGTAGCTATGTCTTGGGAAAAAAGAAAGAAAAAAGGAAAGATAAAAGAAAAAGAAAGAAAAGAAAACGTGAGTTCCTGTCTTGCTGTGTGTGACCATGGTGAAGTCCCCCAGGGTCTTGGTATCAATCTGCACAGCGCTCTATCATGTTTGCATGCTCCATCCTGTCTGTCTTCTCACACCGCCACTTTGGACTGAGGAGCCCAGAACACCGGTGACTTGGTCACCTTGAGCATCGCTCAGCTCGGTCTCTTCATCTGTAAAATTGGGGTGCCCTGGCTGCTGGACAAGACTGTTGGGGAGACCTTAAAGGAATAATACAAATGAGAACTGTAATTTCCCCCAGGGCTTTCCACACTCACCACATACAGATCCGGGGCTGGGGTAGTGGTGGCTGTGGAGAGAAAACAGATAACGGGAAGAAGAGCTATTACAGTATGTGGCTCCTCGTCTCTGGTCCATCGTGAATGCCTAGAGGGTCTGAGGACGCTATAATTTTATGTATAGTACAGGGGGCGAAGCTGGGATTTGGAGGGCTCTAAATACTATTTAGTAGCCTATTAACAAGGCAACTCCAGAAATATCTCAAACGTTAGTAAATGTAATGACTGGCGGCGCCTTACCGGGAACTCTTTTATAAATATTCACTAGTGGACAACTCTGTCCGGCCCTCACCGGGAACAAGTTGGCTCCAGGATCTTCAGCCACTTTCACAGAAGTAGTGGCCTCTGCGGCAGGCTCAGTCATCTCGTCTGTTTCAGTACTCATAGCCAGTCCACCCAACGAGCTGGGACACCTCTCCAGTTCCTGCTGCATTTGGGGGAGCTGTTCAGATTCCGACTGCACCGTAACTCCCAGGATCTGGCTGGATTGGGGGCTGATCATCTTTTTGTCCTTCTGAGCCACAGTCAAACGCTCTCCCGTCCGGGCTCTGGAACAGCTAGCTCTACCACTGCAATGCCCGGACCTGTCCCTTGTAGTGGTTCTCCACCGGCGATGAAGACAGAGGCAGCCAATCCGCAGCGGGCGTCTTCTCAATCCAGTCTCCCCGGTGACCGTTGTTAAGGAAAGTAGAAAGTACAACCACACGCCAATCATTGAGAAGATA